GTTTAATATATTTTTTTTTGTTATTTTAATTAAATTTACTGTATTATTTTTATTTAAAATTAAGATCATATTATTATGTATATATAGTATTAAGTATGTTTTAAATTTTTTATTTGTAAATAAATTTAAATTAATTTCTTTAAATAAATTATTTATTTTTATATTATTTGAAATCAATAAATAATTTTACTTTTTTTGAAATTTTTGAAATATTTTAATTCGAATATATTTTTTTTTAAAAAATTAATTTATATTTTATTTTATTTTATTTTATTTTATAAAGATTAAATTTTTTGTTTTTAAGTATATTATTTATGAAAACATTATCATGATATATAGTTTTCGTGATATATTATTATAAATATATTAAATTTTGAATTATATTTATAAATTAAGCATATTATTAAAAAGATTAGATTCTTTTATATATTAAAAATTTTGTAAAAATAAGAGAAATTATTTAATAAATTAATTTTATATTATAATGTCTATAATATAATCTCTATAAAAAGCTATTTAATAATAAAGTTTCTTCAACAAATTATTAATAGATATATTTATTTAAACTTTAAAAAAATATTTAAAACTATTTATATGTTTTTAATATAATCTATATTAGAAGATAAATTATATTAAATATAAGAATTTATAAATATATAAATATATAAATATAAATTAATATATAAATATATATATATAATTTAATTTACATATATTTTAAATTTTAAATAAGAATTTTTATAAACATTCTGATTCACACATATTTTTTTTAAAAAACATTTGACAGAATTTCATAATACTTAGTTATTACTCTTAAAATTGTTATATTTTAAGAATTTTCTTCGTTTGCTATATATATATTTTTCTTTTGGAATTAATTTATACTTCATAGTTTACTAATCTATACTTCAGTTTCATCGATATAAATTTGAATAAATCCATCAATAAGTGCGCTAATAATTTCTAAAGCAAATACATATCTTTGCTTCTATTAATTTTAATAATCCATATCAGGTTTACATATGCTTACATATTTATATCTTATATTTCTTTATTTTTTTAAAAATGAGTACAAAGTATTTATCTTGAATACATTTTCTTATAAATTAAATCTTTTCAATAATTGCTTATAAATTTTTTAACAGCTTTAATTCTTTTTAGGATATCTTCAGTATTTTATAAAATATAATCTTTTATTTCTTCTGGTATTTTAGAAGGTGCTCCTATTTTTTTATTGTATGGTTGTATTTTTTCATTCAAAAATTTTCTAGATATCATTTTATGTAAAATTACAAATAAGTTTTAATTGATTTGGAACTGTAAACTTCTATCAAATTTTAATAAGCTGATTAATAAAGCTATTATTTTTCAATATTTTTTATTTTTAGAATTAATATTTATAGGAATTTATTTTTTAATTTATTAATCTGGGATATTAAAATTAGAATAAATAATTTTCTAAGTATTTTGCATGTTATCCTTTGTTTATTTTTTTCATATTCTTATACTTAATACTGTAAAATAGATTTTTGTATAATTACAAAACAATATCATTCCCAACATAATTTTTACTTAAAAAAATGACCTAATAAATATTCTTTGAAACAAACCAATTTACAGATTAAGAACTTTCTTGTATTATTAATTCATCATAGATTTCTTATTAATTCATTTTCTATAAATAATTTGATTTTTTTAATATTTGTGTATTAGTATTATTATTTTTTTAAAATTTATTAAAGAAAAATAAAAATTTAGTGGTTTTTTTTTAATACAAATTATAAAGGAAAATTCTAAAAAAAATATGGATATAATTAGTTTAAATAAAAAATGAAATTTTTAAATTAAATTAAATTAAATTATTCTATTTTTTGATTGGATTTTCTTTATATCTTCTATTAAAAAAAAAAAAAACAATTAAATTTTTTTTTATTAATATTAGTTATAGAGAAAAACTAAAGAAAATTAACTGCTTTTATATAGTCTAATTAATACTGTATTATTAATTATTCTTTTATACAGTCTTAAAAAAAAAGCCTCAAACAAACACATTGTTTTTAATAATTAATTAAAAATAACACTTGAAAATTATTGAAAATAAACAAAAAAAACTAATTGGTAAAATTAACCATAAAAAAGGAATTTTTAAAAATAAAAATTTTCACTAAAAATAATTATAAAAAAATTTCAAACAAAAATAATAATAAATTAAAGAAGAAATCAAATGATCTCTAGATCTCTTAAAAACAAATAGTATGCCTTTATATTAGTTTAAAAAAACTGTTAACTTACAGATTATTCAAAAGGTATTATTAATGTCGTGTATTTATTGAAGGTAGCAAAAAAGTAAACTCGCTATCCTTCCAACTCTTTAATTAAGCCAGAAAATGGAAAAATAAACAAATAAATTATTAATTATAAATTTTTTAGTAAAAAAATAAAGTAAATTTTGAAAAAAAAATGAAAAATATATAATAAAGGTTATTTAAGGAAGTAAATTGTATATTTGTTTTGAAATATTAAATTATTTTATGTAATTTAGAAATATAATCTTAAAATTATTTAAAAATAATGAAATATTTTTAAATATAATTATAATCATTATAAACAACTTTTACTTTAAAAATTAATATTTAAATTTAGAATTTTTATTTAAATATTTCAAATAAATTTACATATAAAAAATAATTTAAGAAAAAATAGTTTATAATAAAAAAAAATATAATCAATAATATTAAAAACTAAACATAAATAATAAGTAATAAATATAAAATTTATAAATATATATTAATATAAATATATTTTAATTAATATAAATATTATATATATATTATTATTTTTATATTTTTAAATAATAATAAAAATATTATATTAGTATATATATAATATATATTTACTTATATATATTTATATATAAAAAATACTATTTTATTAATATATATATAAATATTTTTTTTTAATATATTTTTTAATTATTATTATTTTTTAGAAATATAATATATTATTTTTATATATTTTTATTTATTTTAAATCTTTAATATTATAATATTTCATTTTTATTTTCTTTATTTTTATCATTTATTTAAATTTATATTTTTATTATCCTTTTATCAAATTTTTTAATCGAAAATACAAAATATTCAGTTATTAATCTATTAAATAATTAAAATTTAAATTTATAATTATTTATATAATTTTCTTATTATTTTTTTCTATTTAAAATTAAAATTTATATATATATATATATTATTAATTTCTAATTGAAAATATATATATTAATAATAATATTACATTTATAATCTATAATTAAAAAATATAAACAAAAGATGATTGAACATAATGGCCATGAATCACCAAAAACAATTTAAAAAACAATTGTAAAATAATCTTTAAAAATAAACGACTCTCCACTAAATTATAATATAGATACATAAGATAAAATATAATAAATAATAGCAGAATTTTAGCAAGAATAGATGTTTTAAAATATCCAAAAATAAGAATCATTTGATGTAAACAAGGAAAATTTATTAGAAAAAATCGTAAAAGAAAATAATAATGCATAAAAATTATAATAAGGAAAAAATATATTATAAGAATTAGATGAGACAATATCATCTTCTATTCGAAAAATTCAGTAAAAATATGCAGAAGCTAAAAATTGTATATCTTAACTTCCAAAAGAAAGCAAAACTTAGATCACAAACTTTAATTTAGATAATAGATTAAATGACTTTTATAACTAGTTATTTTAACAAAATCAACTTTTTATTTCAAATTAATAAAAAACACCATAATAATAATAATAATAATAATAACAATAATATAGATCGTTTAGTACAAAAAAGCCTGCTTCTGTAAATAAAAATTTACCTTTAGTATGTAATTAAAGAAACTTATCAGTAAATAAAAGTATGGATATTAATAATAGATAAATAGGTAGATGCAATACTGTTTCAAAGTTGAATATTTAAAGAAATAATACTAATTTTTAATAAAAAAACATAAATAATAATAATAATAATAATAATAATAATAACAATAATAATAATAATAATAATAATAATTCTTTAGGAATTAGTAAAATATCAAAAAGTATTCAAAAATCTAAAATTATTGTAAAAAAATTAACTAAACCGTTTTTCAATGATGTGTAAATTAAAAAATGTAATAATAAAAAAATTTAATTAAATTGAGTATTTATATTAAATATATAGAATCGAATATCTTTTTTTAATTTTTATAAATATTAAATATTTTTTTTTCCTCTCTCTATATTTTATTTATATATTATATATTTTAAAAATATTTTTTTTTGTAATTTAAATTTAATGTTTTTTTCATTTTAAATTATTTATAAATTACACATAGTATATTATTTTTTTATTTAGCAAAAAAATGAAAATATTATAATGAATATTAAATCAATATATTAAATCTATAAATAATATATAATTACATCAAAAAAATTAATAATTATTATAATTTAAATTTAAAAATATAAATATTAAAACTAATTTTTATTTAAATATAAAAAGTAAAAAACAATATAATTTAAATCATTTAAATAGATAATTATAATTTATAATATATTATTTTAATAATAAATAAAAAATATTAGAACTAAATAATAAATAGTATATATGTAAAAATTTATAATAATTTTTATCTTAATATTAACTATCTTAATAACTTATCAAACTAAACTTAATCTTTTATAAGACTTAATAACTTTTGGTTTATATAAACCTTCAGAATCAGATTTAATTAAAATATTTGAGTTCTATAATTACAATTATACTGATTAAAATCTTCCCAGATACAATTTTTTTAAATAAAGGTTGCAATAAATAATCGAACATAACAAAAATCATAATTCTACATTTTAAATGGGAATAAACAAATTCACATTTTACCTCCCAGAAGAATTAGCACACTATACATCTCCTCAGAATTGTTCGGCTACAAACAAATAATTTAAGCCTTTTAAAAATTACAATATGACCAGCATTCCTGATGCATTAGATTGGAGATAATATGGAATCGTTACTTCTGTAAAAAATCAAAGAAGTTGTGGTTCATGTTGGTCATTTTCTACTACAGGAGCTGTAGAATCACATTGGGCTCTTAAAAATGGAAATCCTCCTCCCATTCTTTCCGAACAATAATTAATTGACTGTGCTTAAGATTTTAATAACTTTGGATGTAAAGGAGGTTTACCATCATAAGCTTTTGAATATATTTTCTATAATGGCGGGCTTGAAAGTGAAAAAGATTACCCCTATATGGCCGCTACTAGAAACTGTACATTTGACGCTTCAAAAGTGAGCGCTAAATTAGAAGGATAATATAATATTACTTTTTAAGATGAAAATGAACTTTTATATAAATTAGCAAATGAAGGGCCTATTTCTATAGCCTATTAAGTTAATAATGATTTCTTTTAGTATAGAAGTGGTGTATACTCAAGCCCTAGTTGTTCTTAATAACCCAGCGATGTTAATCACGCGGTTTTAGCTGTAGGATATGGGGTTAGTATTAGTGGATAATTATATTATATTGTCAAAAATAGCTGGGGACCGGAATGGGGAATAAATGGATATTTTTTGATTGAAAGAGGAACAAATATGTGTGGGTTAGCTGATTGTGCGAGTTACCCAATTGTTTAAAAAAAATAATAGGAGAATTGATAGTGAAAATCTATTTTAGTATTTATTATCTTAATATTTTTTTATTATAAACTAAATATATTATTTAAATAAAATAAATTACTTATAAAAAAGTATATTTTATAGAATTTTAAATTTTATATAAATTGAATTTACTAAAAATAATAAATATTGTAGTTTTTGAAAAAATAAATGAATATTTTTTATTGTTTTAATTTAATAAAAAATATAAACTTAATCTTTATATTTAAAAACTCTAAAATTTAATTAAAAAATACGCACACTTTATATATAAATATATAATAATTTTTTTTCATTTATAATTTTAAAGTTAATTAAGTATTTCCTTTTCTTTTTATGTTGATTCTTCTCTTGAGCATATTTTTTTAAGTAGCTTTACTGCTTTTTTGAATTTAGTCTAATCATTTAATTATTTAATTTATGAAAGTTCAACTTTTATATTTTCATCTAAATTTTAAAATTCAATTTGTTTGATAAATTCTTAGATTAACACATAATTTTAGTTTGTTAATGCAAATTAATACATTAATTATTAGTAATATTATAACATTACGTATTATTAATATATAGCGAAGTTTTAATAAGGTTTATCAACATTAATTTTTTTATTAACTCTACGTTACTTATTAATCTCTTATATAACTTATTCCGATATCTTATTTTAAAATAAAATAATTGATATCTATATATTATTTATATGTTTTTTACTTAGTTTTTTTCTTATTCACTATGAGCAAAATTACAGTTTTGATTATATTTACATTTTCCATCTTTTTTGTATATTTTTTCGTTAAAAAATATTTTATTTTTTAATACCTTTTTAATAATATTTGCAAATAGTTGTTTTATCTAAAAAAATAAAAATATTCTAATTTATTTATAAAAAATATAATTACAATTTATAGGAATAGATTATGGCCATTTTAAATTTTTATTGATTATTTATTCTTCTTGCTAAAAGTACTGTTAATTCTTTTTGTTAATATTATTACTTTAATAAATATTTTATTTTTTTTACATCCAAAGGAGTTCTTAATTCATTTTCACCCTTTTTTATAAATAATAATATTAATATTAATATAAAAAAAATTATAGGTTAATTTATTAAAATTTTAATGATTTTATATACATGTGCAAAATGACAATTTTATCCTCTTGTACATAGATTTTCTTTAAAAAATAAATAGTTAAAAATTTAAAATTCAAAGAAATTTTTAAGATTATTTTTTTAAATAGTTATTTTTTTTTATATTGTTATTTTATTATTTAAAGTAGGAAAAAACAGTTTATTTGTTTAAAATAGAAAATAAATTATATTAATAAATTTACTTAAAAATGTAATGCATATAGCTGTTTTATATTTAGGATTAGGAATCGAAAACTTTTCTGATTTTTCTGAAGCAGTGGATTCATTTTCAGAAATGTTATTTGTCTTTTCTTAAATTTTGTTATTATCTTAAATCATATGAATAATATTTTAATTTTAATATTATATATTCTTTATTTAGTTTTACTTTATAATTTATTATATAAAAAAATAAAATATTTATACTATTAATATTTTTGACTTTTAATAAATTTTTTTTTTAAAAATTAAAATATATAAAATGTTTTAAATATAATTATTTTCAACTATAAATAATTTATAATAAAAACATTATAATTTGTTTTTTTATTAAAATAAAATAATATTTTATATTATTAATAAAAATGTAAACACGTGTTTTTAGTAGAGATTTTCCATTTATTTTTTAAAAATATATATTATACTAATTACTTATTTTAATTAGAGCGATCTAAAATATATAAATAATATCATAATTTAAATAAATTTATATTATTAAATATTAAGTTATAATTTTATGAATTAATTATAAAATAAATAATTTTAAAATTTATATTAATGTATTTATTATTATTTTAAGATAATCTAAGTTATTAAAATATATATATATATATATATATATATATATATATATTTATATATTTATATTAATTATAAATATATTATTTTATTAATATTTTAGATTTTGCATTAAAAAATTATATCTAATTAATATTTATTATATATAAAAAGCTGGAAATACAATTAATATTTATTATTTAATATATATTAAATGCAAATTTATTTATAAAAAATATATAAATTATGAAAATATTTAATATTAATATTTAAAAATATAAATATAAAATATTTTTTAAATAAATAATTTTTATAATTATATTCATTTATTATTAATAATAATGATTTTTTTTTTTTTATTAAAAAAAAATTATATAATTCTCGTTTAAAATTAAGTATGTTAAAATATTTATTTTTGTTAAAAAAGTGATTATGCATATTTAAATTAGCAATAAAAATGAATAAAAAGTTAATTAGATATAAAATGAATGTATTAATATTATCAAATAAAATCTAATATGTATTTATTATAATTTATGTGATTAATTAAAAAAAATCTTTTTGATTATAAAAATATAATATTAAAAAAAAATATTTCTAATCATAAACATTTAGGATTACATTATATATTTTAAAAATTATAAAGTTAATAATGTATAGAAATATATTAAATAAATATTAAATTTACATTTTTAAAAATTAAATTTTTATTAATTAAAAAAAAAAATACAATAAAAATATAAAATTATAATTAGAAAATATTTTAGTATATATTGCAATTTTTTATATATAATATAAATAAATATAATTTTTTTTAGAATAAAAATAAATATAATTATAATGATTACAATAAATTTTTAAAAAAATAAATAAAAAAAAAGCTATTAAAAAAAAATTTTTTTAAAATAAATAAATAATTAAAAGTTATAGAAAATTAAAATTATATATAAAATAAAATAAAAATGTATATAAACATGTATTAATATAAAAAAAATACATATATAAATATAATAATTTATATGTATATATATACATATATAAATTTATATATATTTATTTTTTATATTTATATTAATATTATTTTTACTTAATATAATTAATTTATATGCTTTTACTT